TGTTTTTCTCGTTGCCATGTTCCCACCAATAACGTAGCTCCATTTTCTGCCTTTAAAAGCACACACAACCCACAATTCCTCTATTCGCTCCGACGAAGGGCTAACGCTCGAAACGTCAGCTTTTGTAATCGTTGCGGTGGCCAATTTACCATTTCAACTTTGTTGATAAATCCAAATTATACTGTATGGAGTGCCTAACTGTCACCTACATAAGTTCCAGCGGTATAAAATGCAGCCGCGCGCCTTATATTTGAAGAAAGCAAATACTGCCATGTAACGCCGCTTCTGAAATCATTGCACTGTCTGCCCGTCAAATATAGAATCATCTTTAAAGTGCTTTTGATTAATTTTAAAGTCAATCGTGACGGTGGCCAATTTAACATTTCAATTTTGTTGATATATCCAATTTATTTCGTTACCCCCCACCAACGCAGCCCCAAACAGTTTCTTTAGAAACTATCAGCCTTTATTCAATTGAATTAATGGTTCTCTGTCGATTTTTTATAGATCGTACACTTACCTCGCGCGGCATTTTTCATTAACTGAAAGGATTCACCAAATTAGCTTATAATGATGGCACAGATCATAAGTCATATTTATTAAGTTCTCTTTACTTACAGTCTTATCAGATAACTGACATCTAACAGGTGTTGGATTAAAATCATCTGGCGTAATAAAAATTGGCTCTAGAGATAGGACGAAGCCTCCTCAACCTTGCAGACTGTTTTCTTTTTAAACTGAATGATAAAATTGTACTCTGATATCAACCTTGAGATTAAACTTTGAATTCTCTTATCATGATTTGGGTTTGGTATATTCAAGAGATCTACGTTCAAGAGATCTATATGATCTTTTGGATGTGGTTACAAACCTAAAGTGATTTTCCGCTTCTTTTGTTCCTAAAGATGAGGAATGTAAAGAAAAAGTGGGAATAGATTCACACCTTTTTCTCCTTTCACCCCAGGATTCCCAACATCTCCTTTCATTCCTTGTTTTCCAGATTTGCCAGGTGGTCCCATAAATCCTTTCGTTCCCGTCTTTCCCTTAGTTCCCCTTGGACCGCGTCTACCCCGATTTCCCGGAGTTCCTTTTAGACCCCGAGGTCCTGCCACGCAAACTTTACCAGGGGAGAGGCAGGGGGTCCTTATGGACTCAGTAACAATAGAAGTCACGTACTTCCTGAATGCAGCGTCGGATTCTCCTCGATTGACGATTGGCAGTTAAGCTGGTCGCTCCGGTTAGCAGTAAAGCTGCCACGAAAAATTTTGACATCGTGCTTCGTACCTAAAGAAAACTGAAAGGGCCAATGAATTTTTGAAAATGTGTGATGGAATTATTCCCTCATTTTAAACATCGATCACATGTGATTTAAGATGTACAAAGCGCTTCCTGCCTCAGTATCATGACAGAAAAAAGGAAGTTATGTTGTGTGGCCGCGTAACGAGGGGGGAGGGGGTGGCATTGGGGTTTGCGGTTTTGCGATTTTGGCTATTTGTTTGGACAGTTTTCGATTTTTGTGCCAAAAATGTTGGTTTTTCGGTTTTGTTATTTATTGCGTTTTGCGAATTCTCCGTTTTCAACATTTGGTTCTCGGTTTTTGACAAGTAGTCGGATTTGTTATCCTATGTGCTTTTTCGGTTTCTCTTATTGGAGTTCCGCTTTAGATCTGAGCAGCAGTAATACTCCTCTGCTGATTTCGAATAGCTGCGAAACCTATGTTGTTCCACTTGTAACCACAGTATCAGATCGATTAGGAATTTGACAACTGAGATGTGCAAATTTATCGGTTTAGAAAGTTTTGCATGCTGTTTTCGGTTTTGATCGAAACCGCTCTTCTGCGGTTTTGCGGTTTCTGATAGACCCTAAGCCCCCCTCCTTAACTGGTTCAGAGCAGGCGGTGTGCGCACACTGATTACGTTGTATCATGGTTGTAAATAAAAAATGGAGTCATTTCCATATTGACGTGTTGGGGTGATCATCTTTGATGGCAGCGAGATACAGCGTGGATATACGTGGATTGTAATGGGGATTCACTGTCTGTTTCCATTCCTTCCAAAGTTAAAACGTTTGACGGGCCTGGGCGACTCCTGTCATTCCTCCGTGACGAATTCGTTCTTAGGAGACAACTGACGTTATTTACAAAGATTCGAAACTGTAATCTGCCTATGAATCTCGACCCAAATGGCAACAGTTGCACTCACGACTGATGGACTGGTGGGATGAATAACTTCAAAGTCAGCACTTATATTCCTAGACGCGAGTTGTTCAACTGTGAATTGACCCTTGACATGCAAACGCATATTAGAGAGACAGAGACCTTGTACAAGACGAACTTTTTCAACCGAGCGTAAATACAATGTTTGTAAAAGGAGAAGCCTCACGCCTCCCGCTAAGAGCGAATTTGTCGAGCTCCACGTTTAGAGAAAACGTACAGAGTTTCAAAATACCCTTCGAGAATAGAGGAAACCTATATGAGGGTTTTGAGAAACGTATCTCTGGAGTTATTACTTCAGGAGAGAAGTATACTCTGAAACAGAGAAAATAGCGCGCGCACAGAAGAAAATATTGCCTTTTGTAACACAATCTCATTCGGCTTTGCCAAACCTCAAGACCATACTGAGGTGGAGAATTATGACACCTCAAAACTGACCCTTATTATCACATCGCAAAGGAAAGTCATCGAAAGATATCTCAATAAAAGCTAAACTTTGTGGGTAGAAGATTTAAAAGCGCTAGCGAATGGTAAGAGACGCACAGGACTTTCCGGCTTTCCGGCGTGTCACCTCACACAAGGTGGAGGTTTCCATGGATCAAGTGACTCTTATCATTGCTCTAATTAAACAGTCCTTCATTCAATGATCAAGATAGAGGATTTACCACATAACACTCGCTTTTACATTTTCCTTCACTCTGGAAAGTAGATTGACAACACGATTGATAAATGCCCTTGCAGTAGTAACGCTATGTAACGCAACACACTAAACACAACAGAGGGCCTTGTCGTTCCACAGAAGGGTCTTATAAACACTAGCCTTAAAATGCATAAAACATCTGTACTGATGGGGCGCGTTTGAGTGCGTTTGGTCAGAGCTGTTAAAGAAGGATCAAAGTGGCCATACAAATCTTTGAAAGGCTTCAAAGAACGACGTAGAACGAATTTGACATGCTCGAAAACCGGTTTCAACTTATATGCTAACTGTGCTTGCGTTTGTCCTTGAGAACGATATAATACGTGACAAATACGCGCGAAAAATACTTCTACACATTCAGAATATATCAAATTATATTTACCAATAGTGAAAGGAAAAAGAAACGGCCTAACTTTTACGGAATACTCAGTAAAACTCAACCCATTTCTACTGCTTTTACCACCATATTGCTGCCACAATGCAATGCAATCGAAGTGTGCACACCACCTGGGTTCAGAGATGTTTTGTTTAAATCCCTTTCGACGGAGGTCGGTCGGAGTGAAGCCACTGGTTTAAAGATAATTTCAATACGTAGTTGTGACTTGTTTCACTGAAACGAGTCAAGTTTCTGATCCAAGGTCAAATCTATGTTACCCACACTTCCCTTCGGATAATATATCACATTGGTAAAAAAAAAAATATATAGTCTACGGCTTTTCTTCGGCTGATTAGCATCAAAATATCATACATCACAAAAACTTGTTTGTAACCTGCCTAAGAATCACATTGTTGAAAAAAAGTATTCTACGTCTGTTCTTTGGCTGATTTGCATCAAAATATCATACATCACAAAAGCTTATTTGGACAGATTCTCCAAGTCCATCAAAACGAATTTGCCTGGTAAAATGTGCTTGGTTTATATGTTCACATGCTGTTTGTTGACGCTTAAAACGGTCACTGCAGAATGCCCCCGGCTAGCTTTCATATGGTTATAGCATAACCATGCTAACCAACCTGCCTAACTGACGCTTACTGTCGAGTTAAGGAGACGCACAGTTGTTTACAAAATTATCTTCGTAATGACCTACCTTTGGAAATGTCTGAGTCTGTTGGAAGGACTTGGCGAGCAACCCTTAAAGAATCTAGAGAATCTCCCATTTCTTGAATTTTCCGCGTAAATTTTGAATCCAGCATTTTCATGTTTGTCTCCGTTCTTACAAAGAGAGCAGCTGTCATCATAATAGCTGCAACAGACAACAACGCTGAAGCCTTTTGAATATGATCACTACGTTTTTCACTGAATAGAATTTTCGTTTGGTGTGCGTCGACATCCATCGTATTTTCTCTGCGTGCCTTGTTCTAGACAATCGTCTGGGTTACCAAGTTAGGAGAGCGTGAGTTATTGTTGAACGAGATGCGATATATATATCTAGCGGTAATCAATTCTGACGTCCGTCTGTGGTTTTTTAAAGGCATTCAGCAAGGCTCGATGCTCCTCTCGTTTTTCGTGTTTCTTTCCTATTGATAACGAAACCTTAGAAGTTAAAGGCGACCTTTTCACGTGATGCTGTTTGTTATCACTTCTTTGTCACAGCGGAGTACGTAAGGGTTCATGTGTACGGAAGTTTCCAGAGCTGAAAATACTGAGTATATTTTTCCGCGATTATTTTTTCATAACTAGACTTGGTTTTCAAGCTATTCACTGCTCAGTCTTGCACTTAGTGCTCAACGAAAAATTGCGCATATCAACCTGTAAGAGTCTCGTGAACACCAGTCAGACTACTCATTGCAATTTCAAATTGTGGCGATATTTACAGCGGATACAGATTCTAATAATGGCCCGATGATGTATCACACTCCAAGGGAAACACCTGTCGGGAGTTCGAATAAAATATCGAAACGGAGATCAAATTATGGACTTGAGGAAAAACAAAATAAAGAAAACAATGCACCGAGACTCCAATCAGTCAACAAGACGCAACTGCTGTGGAACGGTGAAGAGGAGAGGTTAAAGAGTCGGCAGGGGAGCGGAATATTACTGAAAAAAGGAACGAAACAACTATGTAATTGAGTTTGCAAGGCAATTAAATTGAGGATTTTTAATAGATCGTACACTTAGCTCAAGCGGCATTTTTCATTAACAGAAAGGATTCACAAGTTTAGCTCGATGATGGCACAGATTATTAGCCATATCTATTAAGTTCTCTATACTTACAGTTTAGTACATAACTGACATACAAAGGAGTAATGAAAATAGAACGTAAATATACTTGATAACAATCAAGTACTGTTTGCATTCTACTTGTCAAAATACAAAGAGTCTGTTGAGCGAGTAAATGGTTTAGTTTTTTCTTCAGTCTTCCAAGACCACTCATCCCAGATAAAACACTTCCCACTCATCAGGTGTGAAGAGATGACTACCAGCCAACAAGGTTTCCTTGTTTTGCACACCACTTGGAACGGAATAACCATTATTATAACCAAAATTGGCTTCGGAATTACTATTAATAGCGGCATTGTCCGCGATATAAATATCAGGACCAGGACCAAACATTGGACCGCAACTCGAACACCTGTACATTGCCTTATTTGGCATTTTTACCACGCTTTTAAATGGAGCCAGTCCTTCTGTATTGTGGAGAGAAAATAAGAAAGCATTTGGAGTGCTGGTCCACCCACCACTGGACTCTGGGGAAAGAAAATCATTCACGATTGCGTCAAATTGTATATCTATGAGGTTTTTTTCCTCTAAAAATGCCAGTAAGAGCTACTTTCAGGTGTTTGGGATTTTCATTTAAAAAAAAACAACAACAACATCAAAGAAAAATATGAGAAAAAAAAACAAAACAACAACAAAAAAAAAACCAATAAAGACAAAATTGACATGCAATCCATTTACCCCATGGAATGTCGGTGTATCCTCCAAACACGTACTGTCCTGCTTCCACGATGGTGACTGTGTTACGTTTACCATCACAATTATTGTGGAAGGTGTGGACGTGCCAGTCATGAAAGGAGGCGCGGTAACACAGCAGCCACTGAGGATGACTTCCGACTGCGGGCGTTAGAAACTGATTCAGGTGGCTTTGATAAAACACGTTGTCTCTTAGTATGCTTGATCTCCACTTAACACCTGTGAGAGAGGGAGACAGTTCCGATTGCAATAGACTAGGTACCATTAGATTATCAGAATGTATAATCATCTATTTGCAACAAGTTAGTTCTACTTGCACCCCCCTCCCCACCCCTGCCCCTACCTCCTTCGTATTTGTCCACAGTTTAGTAAACATACAAAATTATTCATGAGCCGGAATGCTGAAACACAACTATGATAGTAAGGGATTACCATCAGGCACTCTCACTAACAATATCCTACTGAGACGGCTGTAAGTAATGAACCCGTCTTACTTAAGCTTGTGACAATATCTTGGCCGTAAAAGCCATTGTTGAAAAGCCCACTTTTTTAAAATTTGTATTTTTGTAAAGTATTTTCGCGGGAGAGCAGCG